ATGATTTTATCTCAAAAACAATTAATATAGCATTTATTTAGCAGGAAAATAATAGAAAATGGGAAGTTATTAAAGAAGGAGCAGATAGAAATACTTACAATCCATCCATTCGTAGACACCCACTTTTTAGATTTTAATGTCTGTACCTCTAGATTTTGTCCTTATGGGCACAGTGTTATTGGCCTCACGGTCTCAGCACACCACAAGGGACTCAGATTGTATCAGCCTCAACAGGAGTCAAAAGAACACTACACACATGAAACACCTTTATCCAGTGTTAGAAATGCAGCTAGCCTGCTCCCAGTGCGGAGCCCTCTGTCACCATGGCAACCGTTATAACACATAGAATGGTTGATGAGGCAGAATCAAAGTGCTGCCTCTTCTTTTGGAAACCTTGTGATCTACAGCAGTATTCTGTGCACACTGTATTATCCATCGGAAATCTCGCAAATCCTCTATTTCACTCTAGCCTGTTTCCCCATCTCTGCCCATAAACCTTGCCCTCACGTGCCCAGGAGGAAGCTCTTAGAAGCCTCTCAACACCTGCCCTTGTGACAGACGAAGGGCTAGCTCCCTATAGTCCAATAAATCACATCCACGCTAGTTCAGCTTCTCTAAGCAGGCTAAAATATTATAACATTTTATCAGTTTCTGCAGGTTAATCTTCAACCACATAGGGCCATAGACTGTTCGTATCTTTATCTGACACAACTGTTTAGTCAAATATACTCTGAAATATAGTGTAAATGCCTTCTGCAAAAATGTCAGATTAGGATCAAGACAGATGTATGACAAAAATGTCACATTAGGATCAAGACAGACGTATGAGAAAAATTTCTGGTAGTATATAAAAAGCAAACAAACATTTGCCACTTTTTTTTTTTTGTCACGTTAGAGACCATTTTTTAAACAAAGGCTCTATGTGGTTGTACAGGGGTCTGCTTATGACCCTGACATTGTTGACTTGGAATTTAATGCAGTGACCAGTGAAAATGACAAGTGATGAGGAGGGAGATCAGGAGAGTGTTGTCTTGTTGGCCTGTGCACTTGGGGCACACTTGGGGCGCTTGGTTTCGGGGAGTAGCAGTGATTCTGAGGATGGCTCTGGACTGGGTAATGTTTTCTTCTGCTGGATGAACTGAACCAACTTGAAGGTCTCTAAACCATACTGAGGAGTGAAGTATTTGCAGACTGTACAGTCAAAACTAGACCTCATGACACACTGGCTAAAGTGCTTGTTTCAAACTCAGCTGTCACTCCTTGGGAGAAAGATGAGGCAGTCTGTGTCCATGAAGATCACAATCTGGGAAACCCTAGATTGTTTTTAGGGGCAGCTCTCCTCAGTCCTGTAGGGTTGCTATGAGATGGGAGTAGGTTTGGCCAACTTTGGACAGTGAAAATGAAATAGTATGGTGGACTTTTGCTGTTTTCAGATGCCCAGCATGAACTGCTCCCTCTTCTTGGTAATAGAATCCCAATTTAAATTCAGATAATTAGTCTCATCTGTGTCATCCATAGGCCCTGAGGTAGGTTGATTCATCCCTAGCTCCAGGTCTGAGCCCTGACTGGCTTCAGCCAATTAGCGTGTTCCACCCTAGCAGTCATGGCGACCATTATTGGGATGGGCATGAGTGTGTGACTGAATCTCAGCCAATCAGGCCTGAACAGAAACCTTCCCAGAGTCTCTGGGAAAGACGTATCGTTGTTTTCCTGAAAGCAAACCCTAAGACACCAGCTGCACTGCCACTGAGTTTGTTCTGACTTGCTGTGATCCAGTTCGGCGGGGTAGACAGCCTCATCTGTTTCCCATGAAGCAATTGATGTGGTGAGCAGCCATGTACTTAACCCACGGTGCCACCAGGGCTCCCTTTTTCTGCCAACAGTACCAGGAAAAAGCTGGGAGAAGGGCTGTGACCCCAAACTGCTGATGTCACATGGTAGTCGCAAAAAGAGCCAGGGCCAAAGTAAGCTGGCCAAAATGGAGGCAGCACGGGACAGAAAGAACCCTGGTCTTTAGTGACGTGAATGCACTGAAGGCCAAGCGTCACCTACGGCATGTCCACCCTTTGTTAGGGTACAGGAGGCAAATGGATCCAGTGACGTTTAGCTCCAATACTCACATACAAAAATCTCCTTCATTGTCTTACCCTCCCTTTCACCTCCATTTCAGAATCATTTTCCCACTTGCCACAACCATTTATTCTTCAACTCTTTTGAGCTTAAGAGTTCAGCACAAAAATTTCCCTGAATTCCTAAATCCTGCCATTAATCATTTTCAGAAACTCACATTTGAATATCTTCTTCAGTTCTCTGCTTCCCAGAGGTCTGCATTTGTCCATTTCTGCTTTGCTACCAGGTCCCCTGGTGCCATTCAGTGGTGACCCCTGCCAGGTCCCTGCACAATTAATTCCCACATTTGGCTTGTGGAAAGAACATGTTCTCTGTCTCAGGAGACCACATTAGCTGGCAAAAGGATCCAGGGTCTGCAGTTAGGAGACCGGGAGTTTTAACCTCTGCTCCCCACTACCTGTGGTACATTGTTTACTGCCTTGAGTTCTGAAAGTCTGTAAAATGGAGACAATTATCTAGTGCCTCTTACTTTAGAAGAAAGAGAAAGCCTTGTTGAAAGTGTTGTTCTTGGGTGAAAAGATGTTGCAAATGCTACAAACCATTCTGGTTTCAACTGCTCTAGTCAAATCATGAAATCCCCATTGGCACTGGTATGTTTTATTGAATTTACCTTAAAATGTGGCTCCCTTTGCCATTGGCAAAACCATGAACTAAAAGTAGGGTGTCTGTTTAGCTTGTGTCTTACAGATTTACTATTGGCCCCAGTGATTGGGAAGCACTGTGGTATTCTTTTGCGGCAGGAACACATCAGATAGAAGGAGGAGTGGCTCTCAGCCTAAAGTCTAAATGTAGTAGTGGTTAGCTCACTAAATCTGGTCTTTCCAAACAATTTGCTTCTTAAGCAGGAAGGACAGAATAAGAAGGATAGCACGTCTCTCTATAATCTTCACTATTTGAAAATCTGGTTAATTTGGGAATAATCCCCTCTTTAACTTTGCCAAATGTAGGTCATCCTCAATTTATGACAGGGTCCTGTTTCAAGGATTCCACCATCAATTGATTCTTTGTTGTTGTTAAGTACTGTTGAGTGGCTTCTGAAGCATAGCAACCCTGTATAGGGTTTCCAAGAAGCACCTGGGGTCTCTGGACTGTGCTAACTTTGTGATTAGCAGTCCAGTGCTTACCTTATAGTGCCACACAAGTCAAATGCCTTTTTTAATGTTCTGTTTTCATTCTTATTGTCTTTTATTATAAAAGCAGCTTTATAAAATCACTCTTTATATATTTTTTGGGGTTGGAAACATTATATATAAACTGACAGATGCTTTACCGTTATATGTAGTTCATATTACTAGCAATAAATGTAGTTTGTCATAGCTCAAAAAGTCATAAATCATAGTCTGCCTTTATTGTAGAGTATTTTTGGTAAATGTCACCATACATTAAAAGCTTTAAATAAATAAAAAAAAAAGAGTGGGGTACCTCTGGCTATCTGTGGATCCTAGTGTGGATAAGCAGGCACACTGGCTAAAGGTCTAGTGTAGTGCATAAGACATCAAACAAATGAGAATGGAGCATTGAGAATGATTGTGGCATAGAATTAAAATCCTTGTTAAATCCTACAATTGGGCAGGGTCACCTCAATTTGAGATGAATGAAGACAGAGTCTTTATTCGGTCGGTTTGAACTACAAGGTTGGTGGTTCAAGCTCACCAGTCGCTCCTTGGAAACCCTCTAGCGGCCTGCTATGGGTTGGAACTGACTCGATGGCACTTAACAACAACAACAAGACAGAGTGAATGTCAGGGCCAGGATGGGGTGGGAGAGGTAAAGCAAACGTGAGGAGGAATGAGAGAAAGATGAGCTAACAAGAAAAGAAGACTGAGGGAGGGCAGGTTCAGCCAGCAAATAATACATTTCATATATTTACTCATCATTTTTTTTATGCTCATTGACTAGACGATACAAACAAACTTGTTGTGAGTCCTAGAAAGCAGATTGTTGGGGTGGCAGACTAGAGGAGCTGTCTCCTGAAAAAAATCCAGAAAGTCTTTGTCGGGGGAGATCTCCATCTGTGTCCATGCAGCTGGGAAATTAGAATGCCATGGTCTAATCCGCTGGGTCTAGAGCCTTAGCGCTTATTGAGTCCAAAACTAGCTTCCTCGTGATAAGTCGCTGTTAAGGATTGAACGCTATGACCCCAAAAGATACATTGAAGTCCTAACCCCTGTAACAGTGAGTGCGACCTTGTTTAGGGAAATTCGGTCTTTCTCTAAAGATGGGATCAGTTACGTCAGGCTGGAGCAGAGTGGGTCCCGCTCCTAATTGCCCCTCAGAGATGTCTGCTGAAAGAGCCTTCACAGCCAGTTTCCCACATGAAGCCTACGATGAGTCAACTGGCTTAGATCTGACACACACACACACACACACACACACACACACACGGAAAGACAGATGTTATGAGAGGTTCCAGCTACAAACTAAAGAACCCTGAAACAAGCAAACAACCACGTGGGGCTTCCAAGAAGGCTCTTTCTCTGGAGACAGCTGAGAGCACAACTGTGACAATGCCCTGAATTCTACTTCTGGCCTCCAGAACTGTGAGGAAATAAATTCAGGTTTCTTCAAGATACCTGTTTTGTGGTATTTTATTATAGCAGTCCAAGAAAACGAAGACAACTTTCTCCCCACTCAACTCACAGGCCCAGAAGTCCCATTTGGGATCCCAGTCACAGAGAACCCCTTTTCTCTAGCTCTTTCTAAGGGCCACTCTCTAGACTCTCTGGCAAGAGAAATGGGAACTGACATCAGGATAGAACCAAGAGCTCATGGTCGGTGAGGCATAGAGATATCACAGTACCGTGGGTAACAATCAGGGCATAAAAGGGAATGTGTACACGTCCATCCGTGTTCCAGCTCACCATTACACACTAGTCAGAGTGGGCAGCCTGGCAGTAGACCAGCTTCTTCAGCGCCTCCTTGACCTCCCGGTTTCTTAGGCAATAGATGAAGGGGTTCAGTGCAGGGGTGACAATGGCATAGAAGATGGAAATGACTTTGTTCATGTTGAAGGCGTGGATGGCTCGGGGTCGGGCGTACATGAAGATCGTGGCTGAGTAGAAGATGGTGACCACCACAAGGTGGGAGGCACACGTGGAGAAGGCTTTCTGCTTCCCTGTGGGCATGCGTACAACAGTGGTGAGAATGCTCCCATAGGACAGGACAGTGATGGCGAGTGGGAACAGGAAGATGACCAGGGCCAGGACAAAGTCCACCAGCTCAGCTGTGGACATGTCCGTGCAGGAGAGGTTGAGCACAGGAGAGATGTCACAGAAGAAGTGATTGATGACGTTGGGGCCACAGAAACTGAGGCGGGAAATGAAGTAGATTTTTGCTAGGGAGATGCCAAAGCCAATGGCCCAGGACCCAAGAGCCAGACGGGCACAGAGCCCATGACTCATCACAGTGGGGTAGTGGAGAGGGCGGCAGATGGCCACATAACGATCATAGGCCATGGCAGCCAGGAGCACACACTCCGTGCACATGAGTGCGATGAAGAAGTAAAGCTGGACCATGCAGTGGGTGAAGGGGATGCTGTTGCTCACAGACCAGAAGCTGAGCAGCAGCTTGGGCACAGTCACAGAGATGTACCATGTCTCCAGGAAGGACAGGTTGGCCAGGAAGAAGTACATAGGCTTGTGCAAGGGCCGGTTCTGCTGCACCAAAAAAATGATGACCACATTTTCCGTCACAGTCAGCACATAAGCCACAAGGAACATGAGAAAGATTGCGGCACGCATGCCCCAGGTCCCAGGGAACCCCACCAGAATGAACTTGGTGACCCGGGTCTGGTTCTGTACCTCCATGCTATAGACACAGGGCTTAGTTCTCCTGGGGAAAGAATCACTCAATTAGACTGTCCACTTAGAAGCATTCACCCTGTACCTTCTCTGATTAGTAAGGCCAGAAAAAGGTACCGCTTATGAACTTATTAGCATGTGTGAAGTACACTAGACACATAATTTAATTCCAACATGATATGTATCGTGTTATAGAGTTTCTGGAGTGTGGGGGTGCTGTTGGACAAGCACAAAGCCAGTGGTCCGAGTTCCTTGGCCATTCCAATGGAGAAAGATGAGGCTTTCTGCTCTTGTGAAGCTTTCCAGTTCCTCCTACATAGTGGTCACTCTGTGTCAGAACCGACTCCATGGCACTGAACAACAACAACATGGTGTTCTCATACCCATTCTAATGATGAAGACACCAAGTCTATTCAGTCACTTCCCAAGTTCACACTGGCAACAGGACAGAACCCATATTCAAACCTAAGTCCAAAGCCCATGTTCTATCCGTATCTCATGCTGTCTTCACCAAAAGTATCAAATTAAACAGTATGAAACCTCCAAGTTCCACGTTCTGATTGCCAATTTCAAAGGATTCACCTTGTCTTCCTGTCCCGCCATCTACCAGAGCATCTGAAAGCCTTTCTTCACACCTGTCTCACCTTAACATTCCACTAGTTCCTTGTTCTCTATCATCTAAGACTTAGTGAAATGCTGCATCATCTGAAAGTTAGCCTCTGCAGGGTGACATGGGAGCTCTGGGCTTCCTTCAAACCTTGGCTCTACCACTGACTTGCCCTATGGTATTGAAACCTACACTTTCTGAGATTCAATTTCTTCTTCTGAACATGAGAATACTCATATCTGTCCAGGCTGTGTTGTTGTAGAGCAAAAGCCAAATAAAATTGTTTAAATGAAGTTTGAAAATTATTTAAATGAACTCCTTCCCCAAGAAGGTATAGAAGACAGTAGGTGTGAAGAGGTTCTTTCCCCACAAAGGTGTGAATTGACTGATAGCAAAGAGCATATTCAACACCGTCCTGCTGGAAGGAGCACTCCATCCTAGGGTGAGATGTTGGCGGAGATATTAAAAATAAGCAAACAAATAAGTGTATCATATGATTTCAGGCATCATCCATCAGTGGAGGCTTAAATAGAGAACGCAGTGGAGGTGTAATCAGGGAAGCTTTGCCTTCTAGGAGGTGGCGTGTCTTCAAAGCAGGGTGGGCTCCAGCCTTAGTGAGAGTGTGCTGAGAGGAGGCTATGCTGCTGGGCTGAGGAATGGAGGACTGGAGGTGCAGGGCACAAGGGAGGAGTGGTCAGCAGGACTGTAACAGGGAAGCAAGGAGAGGAGTTAAGTGGGATGGGACTCTGTGTGGTTTGAATTATGGAAAGATGCCTGTATGTCCACAGAGAGTAGGAAGGAATGCTGAAGCCAGTTCACAGCTCGTAGTGGTTGTTAAGTGTCTTCGAGTTCGTTCCAACTCAGAGTGACCTGTGACCTGTATAGTGTTTCTGAGGAACAGCTAGTGAATTTGAACCTACAAGCTTGGGGTTCCAAAGACCTTGTGGTCCAGTGCTTATCCTACACCAGGACTCCTGTTAAAGGCTACTTCAGGGGAAGATGACAGTGGCCTTTAACAGCAGAATTCAGCAGAAATGGGTGGTTGAAGATACAGTTCTATGTGTGATATGTGAGATATGCTATGCAGTGATTAATGAATAGACTCTGGGGAGGTGAGGGAGAGGGTGAAATCAATAAGAGCCTCAGAGATGCGATTTATTTCACTAGGTAGGTTGGGGGTTGAACTATTTCCTCAGCTAAAGATATAGAAATGGACAAGATCTGTATTTTGATTCATTTTAACATGTGGTCTCAATGATCAAGTCAGAATAATGTAGAATAGTAATTTACTTAGCATTGATTAGGTACCAGGCAGTGTGCTAAGGGCTTTGCATTCATTGTTATTTAATCCACAATACAGCGCTAATGAGATATTATTACTGTGATTTTCAGGAAGCACTGTGACTTAGAGAAAGAACCATTTCCAAGCTCAAGACTGAGGCAATCAGAATTCCAGTGACCCCCCGAGGTCTACCGGACTGTGAACGTGTACCTTAACCACTCTGCTGGCTCAGACAGAGGAAAAATACTCAATTTTGGACACAACACTACTTTTTTACACTAAAAAGAAAGACCTGGCTTACTCGTCCAATCGAGACTGGTGGAATTCTGAGCTGATGGTCCTTAATAAACCTTCATCTAAACAACCGATAGATCTATAAGGGGACACGTTACCAGGAGAGACCAGTCCCTGAAGCAGGACATCGGTTTTGGTAAAGTGGAGGGTCCTCATAAAGGAAGAACACAGCCAGTGAGGTGGCTTGGCACAGTGGCAGCTAACATAATCGTTTTTGAGGATGGCACAGGATCAGCCAGTGTTGTGTCCACGATCGCTGTGAATCAGAACTGACTTTACTGCACCGTCAACAACACGTCCTGGTGTGGTACTGTGACACAATGCACCCGATCTCAAGGTTGTTTTGAAACACAAGGTCGGTGGTTCAAATTCACTAGCTGCTCCTCGGAAACCCTGTACAGGTTTGCTATGAGTCAGAACCGGCTCAATGGCACTTAACAGCAACAACAACATAAGGGGAAAAAAATATCAATAAAAGATGTCCACTTTACAGTAATCAACTATCTGAAATAAAATAGGGAAGCATTTATCCAAGAAGAAATTTCTGAGGGACTAGGAAAGAGGGAGGAATGGAACAGGAAACACAGGAAGGAAGTGGGTAGGTGACGTTGCATTGGGAGGATTGTAATCAATGAGAAAAAGTAGGCGGTACATGATCTCCTGATTGTAAAACTGATGATCTGTTCTGTAAACCTTCACCAAATTCACAATAAAAACGTTTTTGTTCTTTTTAAAATCTGACATTTTAGCAAATATTCTGTAATCCTCCTGAAGTTCTTTCTATGTGTAGTCTATTAGAGATGAAGAAGTTCCTGGTTGGGGGTGGGGGGTGGGCAGGGAGGTCTTCTAGAGATGAAGGGACTCTGGTGGTACAGCCGAAAGGTGGACCGTCCCAACCTACTCAGTAGTTCTGCTGCAAGAGACAGATGACAGCCTAGAAAACCCTAAGGGATACATTTACTCCGTCATATGGAGTTATTATGAGTCAAAACTCAACTCAATGGCACCCAACAACAACCACATTAGAAATGAGCCAAAACAATACCAAATCCACTGCCAATGAGCCAATTCTGACTCATGTTGACCTAAAGGACAGAATAGAAATACTCCTGCACTTTCTGAGACTGTAAGTCTCTACGGGAGCTGACAGGCTCACCTTTCTCCTATAGAGTGGTTAGTGGTTCTGAACTTGCAGTTTGTAACCCAATACATAACCCACAGTGCTGTCAGGGCTCCTTGAGATGAGCCCAGACCTCAGAAAAACAATCTGATGGGGATAGTCAGACATACAAGTATATACATGCTCCGCAGAAATAGACACACAGGAAGTCCTAGTAAAGTTATCAAAGAAGAGATCATCATCAAAACATCAGTAAGCAAAAGGAAGAAGCAGGGACTCTGAGTGAACAAAGGTATCAAGATATGAAGCAGACAGACACTTTCAGAGGAGTGGCTCATGGGGGCCAGATTGCTCTGTGGATGGGCAGGTTACGAGTGGATGGGTGAGTACAAGAGACTGAGAGAAATACAGCAGTGGTAAGGAGTCCGAGCACCTTCCTCCAGGTAGGTAAGTAATCCTTGAAGATGATGGTATCTTCATATTATATGCTGGCTTTAGTGGGGAGTTGCGGGAGATGGGTGTGAGTGGGACAGGGTGACCAAGTCAGATCTGAGACTAGGTGGTAGTGAACATATTGGTCATTAAAGGTATAATTGTTATGTCCTGGTGTGGCACAGAACCGCAAGGTTGGTCTGTACCACAAGGTTTGTGGGTCAAACTCACCAGCCACTCATTGGGAACCCTCTACACGGTCGCTATGAGTTGGAACCCAAACAACAGCACACTTAACAACAGGAACAACAAATCAACACAATTAACCTAAAAAAGGAAAAATCACAACTGCTATAGTGTGGCGCTGTAGTCTGCAACGTTGGTTTGAAGTGCAAGGTTGCTATGAGTTGGAACTGACTCAGTGCCACTTAGCAAAAACAATAACAAAGTGTGGCACAATCCCTGCTCTAAGATGAATATTAGACTGAGAACCTCAAGGTGGGCTCCTTGGAAACCTTGTACAGGGTCACAGTGAGTTGCGACTGACTTGATGGCACTTAAGAGCAACAATAATAATAATATGTATTAGCGAAACAGAGGTGGACACATTTAGACATACCTCCTCACAAGTCGTGGTAGCTTTGCACAAAGCAGTGTGTTATGTAGCAAAACTCCCAGAAAAGCTTTACTTTGGTAAAGACTTCACTATTTTTCCAGAATGAAATGAAGTGTACGGACACTAAGGATGGGTGGTTAATAGGAGAACTTGACGGCATTTATCCGTATGAGTTTATCACAAAACATGTAGCCTCTGTTCACCCATGATGCTCTCTGCTCCCTCAGAGCGGAGCCCACCACCAGCCTTCCTAAAGCTTCTCTCCTTTGTGCCTGTGGGGCTGGTCCTTCTCCTACATTTTGCCTGCATTCTGTATATAAAGCTACTAGTTCCAAGTAGCTTCAATTTGATGCAACAGAGTGTCTTTGCCTGCCAGCATTAGCAGCACCATCAGGAGGAATGGCCAGGTGTGGTCCAGGTGTGTTAGGAGGCAGGGCACCAGAGTCTGGAGTACTCATCTCCAATCACAGCAGTCCTGCCGTCCTCGGCACACCTGGTCACACTTAGCTCTCAGAAGGGAGACTCTCCTCTAACTGAGTTCTGGATGCTGAGGAGAGCAGGAGGCAGAGGCACAATGACAGAACTGAACACTCAGGATCAGAGCCCACCACAGTGCTGCCCGTGTGATTAGAGCGATGCTCTGGAGGGCCACTTA